TGATGATGGTGAGTTCGGTAGTGAGACCGAATGTGAGATCGATTGTGAGATCGATTGTGATATCGATAGTGAGGTCGATAGTGAGACCCAATGTGAGATCGATAGTGAGATCGATAGTGAGTTCGATAGTGAGATCGGCAGTGAGACCGAATGTGAGGTCGATTGTGGTATTGATTGTGATATTGGTAGTGAGAACGATAGTGAGATCGAACGAGAGGCCGATCATGACTTCGATAGTGAGTTCGATAGTGGGATCGATAGTCAGATCGATTGTGAGATCGATTGTGAGATCGATTGAGATATCGATACCGAATGTGAGATCGATTGTGAGATTGATTGTGGGATCGACCGAATGAGATCGATAGTGATATCGGTAGTGAGATCGATCGTGAGACCGAATGTGAGATCGATCGTGAGATCGATCGCCAGATCGACTGCGGGATCTATTGTGAGATCGATTGTGGTATCGCTAGTGAGATCGTTAGTGAGAGCGAGTGTGAGATCGATAGCCAGATCGATTGTGAGATGGATCGAATGAGATCGATAATGGGGTCGATAGCGAGATCGATAGTGAGATCGATCGAGTGCGACGGTGGTCCCCCCCCCGAAGGGTGGTCTATGCGGGATATATATATATATATATATATATATATATGGTCGCCCCCCTGTGATCACATATTTCGTCGTCGTCGTCGTCGTCGTCGTCGTCTTCGTCGTCGTCGTCGTCCTCTTCCTCCTCCTCCTCCTCCTCCTCTTCCTCCTCCTCCTTTTCATTTCGGGGGAGGGGAGTAGGGGGGGATGAGTAAGCGGAGGGGACGGAGGAGGGTGTTTGTGGGGGCCGAACTGGAGACCGAAAACCAGGAAAAAAAATAATACAATAAAACAAACTGTGTTTTCACATGGAAAAATAAGAAAACACTCCCCTTTCGAGGGCGGGGAGGAGGAAACAAATGAATAAAAATAAATAAAAAGGAGGAAGCGGAGGAGTGAACGGAGGAGACGGGGGAGTTTTTTTTGTTTTTTTTGTTTTTTTCCCCCCCCTTCTCCCCGCCCTCGGAGGAGGAGTTTTGTTTTTTCCATGTGAAAACACAGTTTTTTTCATATTTGTATTGTTTCCCATGTTCCCCCCCCCCCCCCCTGGGGCGGCGGGGAAACCTTGAGGGGCCGAGCGGGAGACAGAAAAAGAGAACAACAAGGAAACACAATGAAAACAACTGTGTTTTCACATGGAAAAATAGGAAAAATCACCCGAGGGCGGGGAGGAGGAGAACAAGGAAAAAAGAGAAAAAGGGAGGAAGCGGAGGAGTAAGCGGAGGAAACGGGGGAGGGTGTTTTTTTCATTTGTTCCCCTCTCCCCGCCCTCGGAGGAGGAGTTGTGTTCCTTTTTTTCCATATGAAAACACAGGTTGTTTTTCATATTTTTCTTTTTCCTGTTTGTCTGGCCCTGGGGCGGCGGGGAAACCCCGAGTGGCCGAAAGGGAGAGCGAAAAATGGGAAAAACATTGAACAATCATAGAAAAACGTGTGTTTTCACATGGACAAAAAAAGGAAACAACTCCGCCTCCGAGGGCGGGGAGGAGGAACACCACTCCTTGACTCAACGTTCCCGCCCGTTTTCTGCCGAATTCCGTTCCTCTTTCTCTCGTTATCTCTCCTCTCTTCTCCTCCCCCTCTCTCTCTCTTCACTCTTTTTTTTTTCTCTCTCTCTCTCTCTCTCTATATATGTATATCCTCCCTCTCTTGACTCTCTCTCTCTCTCTCTCTCCTCCTCTCCTCTCCCTTTTTCTCTCTCTCTCTCCTCCTCCCTCTGTTTCTCTCCTCCCTCTCTTGGCACTCTCTCTCTCTCTCTCCTCCTTCTCCTCCTTCTCTTCTCTCCTCCCATTATATCTACCCCTCGCCGCCACAAAAGGAATCGATATGTAAATCCGCTTCCCCCGTGTCCACCTCCACCTCCTGCTCTTCCTCCTCCTCCTCATCATCTTTCTCCTCCTACTCCACACAAGGAATACATGTGGAGGCCCCTCCACATAAGGGATCGATATGTGAAGGACCTCCCACATAAGGAATCAATGTGTACAGGCTCCTTCACATAAGGAACTCATCTATGAAGGCCCCTCCCACATAAGGATTCAACATGTTGGAGTCCCCTCCACACAAGATATCAATATGGAGACCCCTTGCACATAAGGAATCAATATGCGGCGGTCCCTCCACAGACAAACTCAATATGTGGAGGCCCCTCCACATAACGAGTCTATACTCGAAGGCCCATCCACATAAGAAATCCATGTGGAGACCCCTTTGACCTAAGAAATGAATATGTGGAAGTCCTTCCACAGACGAAATCAACATGTGGAGGTCCCTTCCACATAAGGGGTCAAAATGTGGAGGAATCCCCCCCCACAGGAGGAATCAATATGCGCGAGGCCCCTTGCACATAAGGAAAAAATATGGGGGAGGCCCCTACACAAAAGGAAACAAAATCATCTTTCTCCTCCTACGTCTTCTGCTCCTGCTTATCCTCAACCCCTGCGCCAGAGCGGGAGGAGGAGGGGGAGGAGCAGGAGGCGGAGGAGGAGGAAAAGGAAATCGCCCGCCGCAAAAGAACTCAATTGGTGGAGGTCCCTCCATAGACGGAATCAACATGTGGAGGCCCCTCAACTTAAGGAATCGAGAATTTGAAGGCCCATCCACATAAGGAATCAATATGTGCAGACCATTTCCAACATAAGGAATCAACAAGTGGGAGGACCCTCCACAAAAGAAATCAATATGGAGACCCCTTGCACATAGGGAATCAATATGTGGAGGTCCCTCCACAGACGGAATCAACATGTGGAGGTCCCTCCCACATAAGGAATCAATATGTGGAGGATCCCCCACAAAAGGAAACAATATCATCTTTCTCCTCCTCATCGTTCTCCTCCTACTCCTTCTGATCCTTCTTCTCCTCAACCCCTGCGCCAGAGTGAGAGAAGGAGAGGGAGGAGGAGCAGAAGGAGGAGGAGGAGGAAGAGGAGATCGCCCGCCACAGAACGAATCGATATGTGGAGGTCCCTCCACAGACGGAATCAATTTGTGGAGGCCCCTCCACATAAGGAATCGACATGAAAAGGCCCATCCACATAAGGAATCCATATGTGCAGGCCCTTTCACATAAGGAATCATTATGTGAAGGCCCCTTCCACATAAGGAATGAACAAGTTGGAGGCCCCTCCACATAAGAAATCAATATGGAGATCCTTGCTCATAAGGAATCAACATGTGGAGGTCCCTCTACAGACAGAATCAACATGTGGAGATCCCTTCCCCATAAGGAAACAATATGTGGAGGATCCCCCACAAGAGGAATCAGGCCCTTTCCACATAAGGATTCAACGAGTGGGAGGCCCCTCCACACAAGATATCATTATGGAAGCCTCTTGCACATATGGAATCATTATGTGGAGGTCCCTCCACAAATGGAATCAATGTGTGGAGGCCCCTACACATAAGGAGTCGATGTTTGAAGGCCCTTGGAAAGACGAACATATGCAGAGAAGTCGGATCAGCGATAAACGAGTAGAAGGAACGACAATGATAATGAAGGGTAGGAGGGACAATAAAGAGTAGAAGGAACGAGGGCGGTAAGGAAGCTTGCGAAGGGGAAGAAGATGACGAGGCCCTGCAACGGAGAAGGGTGGGAGGAAGGAGGAGGGACGAGGGGTGAGGGAGGAGGGAGGATCGGGAGAATAACGAACATAATCAAAAGGAGAAGGAACGAATCATAGAAAGAAATGCAGCGGGAAGGAACGACACCGATGCGGACGGAGAGTGGGTAGCATACGAGGGGGAGGGCTGACAAAGAAAGAAGTGGGAAGTAGCGAAGACAAGGCGAATGGAGAAGATGGGAAAGGAGAGGAGGAGCAGGAAAAGGAGGAGGAAGAGGAGGAAAGGGAGGAGGCACAGGGGGAGGAGGAGGATGAGGAGGAGGAGGAGGGAGAGGGGCAGGAGGAGAGGGAGGGGAAGGAGGAGGAGGAGGAGGAGAAGGAGGAGGAGGAGGAGAAGGAGGAGTAGAAGGAAAACAATAAAGAAAAGAATTGAGGAAGAAGGAGGAGAAAGGATGAGGGGGGATGATGGGGAGGGAGATGAGGAGAAGGAGGAGGAGGAGGAGGAGGAGGACGACGACGACGACGACGAGGACGACGACGACGAAGCCGACGAAAAAAAACAAAATGTATGATCACAGGGGGGGGGGCGAGCATATATATATATATGTATGTGCGTGTGTGATATATGATATATGGTGTGTGTATGTGTATATATGTATACAAGATAGTATACGTATACACACATCCGTTGCCCCGAATATTGTAGTCGTTTCCATATACCTTTGGTTAGACAGATTGGTGCCTTCTGGTGTCAAGCGCTACTGCTGGCAAAACGCCGCCAGGCACCGATTGTCTAGCATTAGTAACCGTGCCTGGCGCCATCGATGAGATGGCATGACCTAGGGCAGAATTTCGGCGTGCTCAGGACGGCCTGACTCGCATCTGTCACATCTGTCACCGAATCCTAGGCAGCAATCTCGCCGCCGCTGACGTCTGGGAGGGGTTTGATGATTTGAACGTTCCCTGTTAATTTTCTTGTTATGTTGTGACAGGTTTGCGCAGCAGTCGTGGGCTTCGAACATTATGATACAAAAGGTCGCAGCTGACTGGCTTCGCCCCATGGTCTGTTGCCAAGTTTGCCCCCCATGGTCGGAAGAGAAAGGGAGGAAGAACAGGCGCAAGAGGACCGGCCGCCTCTGATACTGGCCGCCTCCCCAGCGGCAAATTCCAGTCTGTGCGTTCCAAATCGCCTGATGTTCGTGGCGCTCGAAGCCTGCTAGAACCAGACGCGGCGACGCGGCGATGCGATGTCGATTACATTCGAGGCGAATCGTTGGCGATTCGACTCGGCGCAGTCTGATGCGCGTCCTCGCGGTTCGACTTGGGGTTTCTGGTGCCCGTCTCCGACAGGTGCTCCACGTGAAGAGGGAGGACGAGCCAGCGCTCCTCTTGGAGGCTCGCCGCCCTGTGTCTTTGCGAGCAGCCAGACGAGCGGGGAGCTACCGAGGGAGCAGCGGGTAAATAGAGGGACGGGAGCGGGCGTTTCCTTTCTCCCTCTGCAGAATGGCCATCCTCGATCCAGCGTTGGGAGGGTTTGGGCACGGTGGCGGGTGAGGCTGAGCTTGAGCTTGGGCCGGCGGGCGCATGCGGCGGCTGGCGGAGGAGAGGCCAGGGGTGAAAGGGGACCTTGTCACTGCGCGGCCCCGCCCCAGACCCCTTCGCGTCGTGACGGAACTCACGACGAATGGTTTTTGGCTATGGTCGGCTTCTGGGTGCCCCCACCGGGTCCCTGGTAAAAGCAGACCGGTATAGTCCCGGGACCGGTAAGAATTGACCTGGGAAGGTACCCGGGCCTGTGGGCCTGGGGGCCCACGTCAAGACGTCAAGAGGAACAGCAAAAGACACGTCGGGGGTCCGGGAAACTCGGCCCGCAAAGCCGTGCCCGCCAGGGACAAACCAGGTGAATTTCGAGGGCGTCTCATGCAGGGCGCGCGGCCAAGCCAGGACAGACCACGGGCAAAGCCGGGCAGATTTTGAGGACGTCCCGAGCAGAATCGCCCGAGCCAGGCTCCATACATTTTCTTTTTTCTCATTCCAACTGAAGGAGTGGATAACCCCGGCCCCCCCGCAGGCGGAAGCCCGTTCAGAATTTTCTGAGGGGGGCGTTGGGGCCGCGCGCACGCTGGCGCGGACGGGGCTGGGCGCAGAAGTCTTTGTTTGCTTTTCGGCCGCTGTCGGGGCTATGGTGTGGCTTTCTGAAAAATACTTCCGAGCACGTAGGTTTGAAGGCTGGTGGGGTGGTCCACCGAAGACAATATTGCGGTCATCGCGAACACGGTGTTGGAGCGCTGTATAGGGGAGCGCACCGACGAGCACAAGGCGCCAGCTGAGAGCGTGCAGCACAAGTTCTGTCTGGACGTCGCCACGACCCGGAAGCAGCTGGACTCCCACGAGGAGCAGCAGAAGCAGCGGCAGGAGCAGCGAGAAAAGTTCGAGGAGGAACGCTGCCAAAGCACAGGGGGACCTCGAGACCAGTGTGAGTTTGTGGGGGGGGACGTACTCGCGCTGGAGAAGGAAAACGACATTCAAGGAGGACCGTCAGGACTACCAGGAGGAGCGGCGGCTGCGGCACCAGCTGAGTCGCGACCAGCTCACGACTAAGCTGGCCGACGAGCTGGAGGAGCAGTCCTGCGACCCTCGACCAGGTGCGGGACCATTTCGACAGGCAGCCGCGCAGCCTGCAGGGCAGCTCGACAAGCTGGAGGCGTACATCGCGAGGGAGCTCACGCGCCGCCCGATGCGGCTCATCAGTGCGGCGACGTAGGATCGCCGCGACCAGGGCGACGAGAAGGGCTCGACAGCCGACCGCCCTATCGCAAGAAATGATGCGCCAGTCCTCCTCCTCCTCTTCCTCCTCCTCCTGCCTTTCGTCGTCATCATCATGTTAAAGTGTTACAGTCGAGCTGTCCGAGTCTGTCTTCCTCCCGAAAGTTGCCCTGGAGGGCGACGCGGCGGAGATAGCCCGCAAACACGAGGATAACCCGCCCGTTGAGCCTCAAGAGCACGGACAACAAGATTTGCGCCGGCATCGCTCGGACGTGCGCATATTCTTCTGGCGAGGACCATCGAGGAGCATCCTTGATCATTTGGCGAAAAAGCCACGCACGAAACCGACAAAAAACACAGGGAATGGACGTCCGAGCGATGGCCAGAGTGAGGGACGTCGCCACCACCGGTGTCTCTGAAGGCGACCTGGGACACACAAACAGATACACACAAATCACCGGATCCCCCATGTTTCCGCATATCTTCCGGGTTTTTGCTTTCCCCCCCACTTCCCATATTTTCCCACATTTTCTGGGAATCGACGATTAATTGTGTCTGTGTTTTTTTTCTCCCGCCCATTTCCAGGCCTCCAACATCCAGCGCGGCTCTGCCGCGCAGCGCCGGCCAACCCAGCACGTCGTCGGCCTCGACTGCGCGGTTCGCGCCGGCGGCCACCCACACCACGCCCGACGTCTTCAGGAGGGGAGAAAGCACACAGACACAATCAGTCGTCGATTCCCAGGAAAGTACGGAAGAATATGGGAAGTGGTGGGGAAGACAAAAGCCTTGAAAATCTGTGAAAAAATTGGGAATCAGGTTATTTGTGTTTATTTATTTGTGTGTCCCAGGGCCCCTTCAACCACGCCCGACGTCTTCCTGTCCTGGGCTTCTGGGACATCGCGGCCGCCTTCTCCAGTTTGCAGCACTGCTGGATCCGGGCCGCTTTCCGTGCTCTGGGCATGCCCAGTGGGGCTCTCTCCTGCATCAAGACGATCTACCACTTGGACATGGCCTTCATCCTGGGCGTGTTTGCCTTCTTCTTCTTATTATTCTTCTTTTTCTTCTTCTTCTTCTTCTTCTTTTTCTTCGAGGGGGGGTCGCTCCAGGGCTGCCCTCTCAGCGGTTTCTTGTACGCCGTCTTTACGCATCCTTTCGCCGAGCGCATGATGCGCACTGTGGACCTGCGTGGTTCAGGTACCACGCGAATTTGCGCCGACGACGTTGGCGCGGCCATTCCACGCTTGAGCACCCTCCGGGAGTACGCCGACACATTTGTCCTCATGCAGTCCTGTGCTGGCCTCCGCCTGAAGCCTAAGAAATGCTTGTTGATTCCGGTCAAGGCGTCGTTCTCTTGCCACATGATTGCGGTGATTCGCGACGCTCTGATGACTATAGTTCCCGACCGGGTTTAACTTGGCATCGTGAAGATCGCCACCTACCTCGGATACGCCTTGGGCCCCAATGTAGTTGACGACATGTGGGACCCCCCAATTCAAAAGTGGCAGCAACGCGCCGACGCCATTGCGCTGGCGAAGGGCTCCACTACAGTCACGATCAAGGAGTACAACACGAAAGCCATTCCTACGCTGCTGTGCGCCGCCCAGTCTTGCCTCCCTCCCTGGGCGATTATCCAGGCCGAGAACGTCATCATCAACAAGCTCTAGCACGTCCCACCGTCCACGTTTACAGCGCGCGGTATGGCCCACGCCTCGCAGCTTGGCGCGGTTGACGTTATCTCAGCCTCTGTCGCTTGTGCGTCTGCTCTGGTCCGGGCAGCCTGCCTCACCGTCGATTGGAAGACCCCGTTGGACCTCCTGCGTGGCGCTGACTACGAGGCTACTCTTGAGCGCGGCACTGGGTCCCCTAGCGCGGGAGGAGCCTTGGGCACAGCACTGGAGATCTCCGGCCATAGCTTGGACCGTCGAGCGCGATGTCACCGAGCAGACGATGGGATCATCATCATCATCATCATCATCATCATCATCATCATCATCATCATCATCATCATCATCATCATCATCATCATCATCATCATCATCATCATCATCATCCATCATCCTCCCTCTCCTCCTCCTCTTCCTTTTCTCCCTCCTCCTCCTCTTCCTTTTCTTCCTCCTCCTTGTCCTCCTCCTCCTCCTCCGCCTCTTCCGCCTCCTCTTCCTCCTCTTTCTCCTCCTCCTCCTCGTCTCATTCTTCTGAGTCGCATGTTCCCTCCTCCTCGCCACGATCGGTGTTGAGGCACCGCATGCTGCCATCCGTGCGGCCCAGAAGCGTGCGGCCGTCGAGCTGTCGGGCTCCGCCGCCGGGGCGCCGGCGGGCTCCCATCGGGCACTGCTGGGCCCGGGCTCGCGGTGTCCTCCTCGGGCGTGCTCCTCCGGCCTGCGCCGCGCACGGCCTGCCACGCGATGGAGGAGGAGATCTTCAAAGCCGCCCCAGGCGGCGCGCTCGAGGCCCGCCTGCGCCTCCACTGGCCCGACGCCCTCGACGACGTCGGCAGACTTCACGAGCCTCTTGAGCATCATCTGGCGGCGCGCAGAGGGTGGTGGGGGAAGGGAGGAAGGGTTCGTTGAAGGAGGCTGGTTCTTAGAGGGCGCGGGACTTGCATTTACAGACAAGGCCCGCGCCTTGTAGGAAGCAGGGCGCTTCTAGGAAGCCTTCCCCGTCCCCCTACCCCCATTTGCGCGTGGCCTAAGCCGCAAGCTCTTGCTTCAAGACGTGGATGGGCGATGGACGACGTCTGCGCGACTCCACGAGGCAGTCGTTCACCCGTGCCTTTTCGGCTGTTCCGCCCGGGACGAGTGGACACATTATGCCGATTGCCTCCCGCTCTGGCCCACAGCGTTCAGCCTTGTAGGGAAGTTTCCGCCGCCCAGGCGTTTCGACACACTCGCCATGAATGCGAAGACCCCCGAGGAGTTAAAGACAACGTTCATTCAGTTACGCACTCCGACAGTTCACCAACTCCGACAGCATGATGAATTTCTTGGCCTGACGGATCGCCTCGCGCACGCGGTAGCGGGACTTTGTCGCTAGAGCGTGACGTTGCGCTGCAATGCTACCGGCATCAGCATCACCATTAGCATCAGCATGATCATTCTCATCATCAAATTCATCAGACTCTTATTCATCGCTATTCTCATCCTTACCCTCATTATCATCCTCCTCCTCCCCCTCCTCTTCCTGCTCCTCCTCCCCCTCCTCCTAGTGATGCCCCGTGTGACGGTGATGTCGGCTTTCCGCTTGAGGTATTCAGTGATCGTGTTGGCTCCGTGGCTTGTGCCACCTCCTCGTCCACCGCGTTGTCTCCTGACAATAGTCGCTGTCACATGTGGAAGCTCTGGTGGTCCAAAGTTGGAGATTCCGCCACTGTTGTGGAAGTCAAGGCCCATCGAGCGTTGCAGGAAGCGACCTCCCTGGAAGATTTGTGGATGCTCCAAGGGATTCGTTTTGTCGATGAGTGGACTCGGAAAAGCAGTTCAGCTGTGGGAAGTAGCAGAAACGCAGGATTTTGCTGCAGAAGGCTGTGAGGGACGCGCGGTGCAGGCTGCCGAGTGGCTCGGCCGATTGCACCGCTGGCGTCATGATAGAGGGTTCGGGGACTCGGAGAGGGTGGGCGAGAACACGGAAGT